TGGGCAATACTTCCACTTTTTAGTGAACTGGAAATTTGCATTTCAAAAAATTTGCTCTTGTCATTTTTTCACAAAACCTCAAAGTTTGATGCAAAAACGCATGACCGCACCGGCTCGCCTGGTGCGTTCCAGCCTGGGTTTTATTATGCATTTTTATGCTGTAGTGCTATGGACCACAAAAACACGTTATGTGACAACTCACAATACATATGTAACACAGACATATGTGTAGTACATGTGTATGTATATGTATACATATATATATATATTTATATATATACCCGAACAGATATATATATATATATATATATATATAAATACCCGAACAGATATATATATATATATGTCTGTTCGGGTATTTCAATTCAGCAGTCAAGCGGGCTAAGATGCTCAATTTTTGCCTGTGTGTTCCCTGGCCAGTACGACTCCAGGAACGTGATATGAACTTTCATGTGCATTTGAGACTGTTGTACAGGTGTGAAATTTTTGGTAGGAAAAATGCTCACTCAGAAACCAGGACAGCTAAGAAGCTGAGATATTGATGATATTTTAATTCCTAAGTACGCTTGGCTTCTACGTGTGGGCACATAAAAGCTTTGGCGGGAAAACTGCTAACCCAAAGGTCAGAAAAGATAGTAAAATTTTAGGAGGTTATTCTCTGTGTATGTGCAATTTAAAGATTGCAAACTCAATTCCTAAGTAAACTTATGTCTCACATAGAAACACATTAAGGTTCTGGCGGAAAACCTTCTAGTTCGGTTTAAATCCAATGTTACATTACAGGAACAAAACATCTCCGTACTTCAGTCAAGAAATTTCACCCTCTTATAAAAAATAAATTTTAAAGCAGAGTTGTCACTCACCGGTGGAAGGGGGGAGGGAGAGGGGAGGGGGATGTAAATACTGCAGCAACTTCATGCCGTCAAGAAGCAAATCCCTGCTGCATTTACAACGAAAAAAGACACAGCCCAAATCAAAAGGGGAGAGATTCTAAGTGATTTCATCAAAATTAGATAGCCCTTAAACTGGAGGGCTCACACTCGCCAGTTTCGTCCTTAGATAAAATTCTGACCTCCAACAGAAGTAAGTCCAAAACAGTTTGCTATATAAATAGGGTTAAGTGAAAAATTGTCAGCCGAGTTATTTAAAAACTGTTCAGGAGGAATATTACTGGCGAACTAAAACTCAGCCTTACCATATGTGGAATGAAACTTGTTCAGTCATGAAATAATTGCAACTTTCGACTACTTCTAATATATTTTTTCGAAATTCTAAGTCATATTTCATTAAAAACAGCTCCGAAAGTCAGATTTCCAAACAGGTAGAATTATCGTGCCTCTCTTGCTTGCTGTCACATCATTTCAAAGAGGTATTTGCAGTAAACAGTGGCCTCAGTGGTGCACCACTCCTCCGTGTTTTTTTGTTTTTATTGGCCTCGTATGTACACATAAAGGACAAGAGAAACAAGCATGACTCTTATCACCCCCTGACCTTCAAAAACATTCAAATAATATGAAATTTTTCGGTTTTTTTGATAGAATCCGAGTTACTCCAGTGTACACATCCTGTCACCATTATAATAGAAGCAAATACGATGCAAGTGTAGCATTACCCGATTTCGTATCACTTAAGACGATCACTACTGACCACTGTCAATCAACAGTTCATCGTTGAGCAACAAACTTTATAGCCATATCGGTAAGACATTACGCAGTTTGGTGCATCCATAAAGGTGCAACTGTTGAGAGTTGAGCATTGTACCGGCTTATTGGTGCCCGGGTAAACTTTCACTTTACCTAAACTTTTTAATTTAAAATTATGTGCCAAGTTGATACTCCGCTATATGTTCCAGCAGTTGTTTGAGAGCGAAAATGTGGTCTGTGGTGTTGCACTACTGGGAATTTTGCTTGAATGAGCGCCAAGTAATCGATTGTTGCGTATCGAGAGGTCTTGTTAGTTGGTTATCGGTAATCTACAAGTAAAAATGGAAGAACACCACGACAACGGATACTGGATAGTGGCAGGTAGCACTGCTCTCATTTTAAGGCCGAGAATTCAGCATCAGCAGTAGGGCAATCTATCCCTTGTGTCTATGCGTTTTGACAGTGAATTGTTAGTAACACCGATGAGGGAGTCAAAACTGCCAGCAGGCTCTGCCGATGGTTTTTATTTGCGGGTGATTGCTTCTGGCTCAGGCCACCACTCCAACCACTCTCCAGTTGCTGTGCTTCTCAATAACACTGAACTTGTGAATTATTTCATTTTGCTTTGTCAATAGCACGCCTAGCTTTCGGCGAAATAGGCACACTTCAGGCTTCGGCGCTGCCCTTCCAAAATAACGCATTGATCTGAGATGATGCTTCCTTCTTTTCTGTACCTGATTAGCATGAATACAACATTTTTACGAGATTTCCTTACGACATTAATCGATCTTTTGTTCAGTCTCATACTTGTTGAATGATTTTACTACACTTTTTGTTCATTTTTTTGCTTAGAAAATTTGCTTCTTGTTGGCTAAAGCACACAAAAATATGTGCAAGTAAAAACTTCTGATCCACAATTTTTTCAAAATTTTCTTACCATAAATGTCATTAGAATTGCTGCCGCAGCAGATATACTGGCCATTGTTATAAAAGGGATTGTACTCGCAGAAGTAGCCAACTGTACAAGGCCAATATAGGCAGTTCTTTACCGTGATACTGTCATTCATATACTCCACTTTAGCATTCGGATCCTTACATACTGCTGCAAGGAACTGTTTGTAGCAAGCTAAAAAGAAATAGCTATTTGCATTAGCGACGATCTGACAATCGGGCTCGTACTGTGATATCTATAATGAAATGGGACAAAAAGTGCAAGTGTGGAATTGCTAAAACATGTCATAGCGTGTAAGGTCGGATTGGACAGAAAGTGAAATCCAGCTGGAGTGGCGTGCACATGACGGTACTGAAGTAGTGAATGAAATGCAAACTGCAGATGGCGTACGCAGACAAAATTGAGCTGACAGCACAAAGTGAAGACTTAGGAAAATGGCATGAGTTACGTAGAGTGGCCTATAAATTTGCACTTCTAAACTGATCCACTCTAGTGATTGCTCAAAAGTATTATTAAAAAAGTTAAAAAATTTAAATTTTTAGCTAGGAAGAATTTTTTTATAAAAAGTTGTCAATATATAACAACTTATCCCTTTAGAAAATGAAAGGACGTCATAATCACCAAAAAGCTGACAAAAAAATAGCTATGAAATAAAGAGAGAAATTGCTACACCATCAGCGTGTGTTATTTCATGGAGAGACAGAAGCCGTTTCAAATATCAGGTATAACAACCTTTAAGTGACCGAACAACTTACGTCTTGGATTATCGTTCATCTGAATAATACAATAACCATTCAGGCACTGAAGTGAGGGGTATAATTTGTCAACGCATTGCTGTGTGTAGGCACACGGTTCACCCATTCGAGCCAGTGCATAACATCGACCACCGACTGCCACTTGGTTCATGGGACACACTAAAACTTCTTCGAGATGAGAGACGCAAAACAATCTACCAGCTACTTTCATGTTTTGAAATGACGCTATGCAGAGAGAGGAAAGGCACGGAAAATAAATTCAGTACATGCCGACTTTTTATGCGTTTTGCGCCGTGTAAAAGCAGAACAAAAAGGATATTGTCACAGGGTTGTCCATGTGTTTGTGTCCGAGTGCATTTTATCCCGCACCTTCAACTTGGAAATCACAAAACTAGACGGCCGAAACTTTAGTAAAGCGTCCCCTGCCCAAATGCGACCCCGCCACTTTAAATTCTGCCTCTCCCTGTCCACATGTAACACATACGGTCCCTAAAAGTTTTGGCGGGGAAATTATTATTCCAGGAATAGTAAAAGCTAGGAAGCTGGAACTCAACGAGAATGTTTCCTGCCCACTTGCGACCCCTTAAATTTAAATTCAGCCTTTCCGTGTCCGCGGATAACATGTACGGCTCCTTAAGTTTTTGGAGGGAGAAATTACCTCGGAAATCACAAAAGCTGGGAAGCTGAAATTTTATGAGTATGTTCTCGACCAACGTGAGGCTCAGAAAATTTAAATTTAGCTTTCCTGCGCTTCGATATCGCGCACGGCCGCATGGAGGTTTTGGTGGGAAAATTATTATTCCGGTTAAAGCATGGTGGCTAGAAAGCTGGAACTTAATGAGAATGTTTCCTTCCTGCGTGCGACCGCGTAAGTTCAAAGTCAGTTTTCAGTCAAGCCTGAGTCTCAGTTATGCCCACGTGAAGGTTTCGGCGGGAAAAATTACTGTGTCGGAAGCCATAAGAGATAGGAAGGGAGGATACGACCTCGCAGAATCAAATTCAGCTTTCAGTATGCCTCTTGTGCGACTCCGCGAAATTTTTGGTGGGGAAAATTATTATTTCGGGGACCAGAAGAGCTGCGAGGCTGAATTCTCAGGAGGATGTTTTCTGCCTGTGCACATACCTCAAAAATTCAAATTTAGCTCTCAGTTATAGTGAGGTCTTACGTAAAACCACATGAGAGTTTTGGTGCAAAAGTCACTAGCTCGGAAGCCGGAAAACTGGGAGGTTGAAATTTCCCGTCAAAGGTTTCAAATTCAACTTTCATGGACCGGCACGTGGAAATTTTAGTGGGAAATTTCTCAGCTCAGGAACCAGACAGCATATCGACTATTTTTCCACATGCGACAGTATAAAACAGTTATGTTTTTAGCAGTCAAATGTCCACTGGACGGAACTTCGCAAAACGCGTGATCGCACCGGCTACCCTGTAGCGCGCCGCTATTTATTATTTCCGTAGGGCAAAACGCAAGTCGGTTTCTTTAAATAGATTAGATATGTTTTTCCATTTTTATGAAATGTTGCATTCATAATATCACTTTTTTAATAGATGCTATAATTTAACTGTTAGTCCATTAATTATAGAAGTACTTTTATACTTACTTTCTAAAAGAAACAATTGGAGCCACGGAATTTTTGACCCCGCCTCTGCTTAATAAAATAATTAAAACTTTCTAGTGGATGTAATTTTCGAAAAAATTCAGTGATACAAAATTTTTTTGAAAAAGCACGCTGGAATATGCTTTTTTATTTGCCAGTTAATGTTAAAATGATAAAAGTTGTTAAATTCACAATAAATAAACAGCAACGTGCACTAGGATTGCCGGCGCAGTAATACGTTTTTGGGCGATTTCGTGAAGCAGTCAGAACATTAACAGGATGAAGAGGCAATGCCTTATAGTTTAATGTGTGAAATTATGTTGGAAGTGTTCTTGTTGGTCTTTTCTTATACTTGCGAAGAGAGTGGCAGCAGCCAGGGCGGTAGTGTTGTACCGTGTTACCTTGTGAAATTTCAGCTTTCAAGCATGCATAATAACGATGAAAGGAGAATGCCTACAAATTCCTAAACTTTGTTACATTCATACGCGATATGTAGGCGTTCTTGAAAGCTGGTACTACGTTTTTAGTGCCACAAAGTATATGCCAGCATTTTCTAAAAATTTCGGCATTTATGACTGTTCGTAATGACGTAGGCAGGTTGGACAGATGCGTTTGAAATCATTAGGTCGCGAATAGACAAAGAACATATCTCAAGCTCTTTATATTATCTGTTCCCGAAATCGTCCTGCTAAAACTCATTCATGTTTTTTTTTTTCAAACGTCCACACGTCACGTGGACGTGTACGAGTGTTGATTTTAAGTTAGACAGATAAGCAACAATGCTTGTAAAACTTCAGCTTCTCAGATTCTCCGGTAGCTGAGTTAAAAGTGGATGACGAAATTCGAAAACACGCACGTGGAAATGATATTCCTTGATCTATATCTGTGCGTCGAAATTAGCGAACAGTGAAACTGAATTCGCACTTGATGCTGCATATCTCATAATTTGGCGAAGGTTGTTCATCTGCTCCCCTTCTTTTGCTTTGTATCACAAAATGTTCGTTATTCAACTACTGTCTGCCCGCAGTAGTGCATCCTTTATATCCCGCTGTATGTAATTTGCTGCTTTGATTCAAACATACAAAAAATTTTTTGAAGAAAGTAACAATTTTGATGAGGAAGAGTGATTTTCACGCAGTGGTTTCACACGTTTTTGTGTATAAAAGGAACATATTATGACCAGAATCGCCCTTTTCTCAGGTTGGATAATTCGAACCCAAAATTAGGAAGTTGCGAAGCTCAAATTTGGATATGAAAGCCCTTGGCCATGTGCAAAACAACCTTTACGTCATTTTGTGTGTAAGCATTTAGAAATGAACAATTCCGTCACTCGCACAATAACTACAGGATGCAGCTTTAGGATCCAGCTAATTTTTGCAGTCGCTAGTGATTGGAAATAAAGTTAAATTTTGTAAACACAGTTCTTTGCTGCATGCGCAGCCAGAAGCATAAAATCACGCTGCATCTCTCTCTCTTTGTCAACTTATGGACAGCAAATGTTTAAGTTGTTTATAAATGTAGGGCCGAAAAAACCATTCGATAATCATTTTAGAAAATTAGTTTACACGGTGATTGACATGCTAATAATTTTTTATTATACACACCAAAATCTAACCATTATGTCGAGCGACGCATTTGCTGCCATCAAAAACAAAACCCATTTGACAACGGCAAATGGCTGATGCACAAATTCCTCCAACATAGGCACATTGTTCCGTAACTGCACATTGAAAACCGTAGCTCACTTTCCGGTAGCAGCGACCGCTCACCGAGACTTGATTTGGCGCGCACATATTTGAGACTACAAGTGGAGCCGGCAGTGGCAGTGCTGAGGAGATGGGGACAAATGCAAGCAAATATTTATTTTATTCCCAAAAATAAGTGATCTTTGTTTTTTATTCCCCCCCAAAAAAAAAAGAAAGATATATATATATATATATATATAT